TCCCAAAATCCTTCTTCACCACTTTGATGTATTTCCCTTTTCATGCTCTTGATTGCTCCAAAATATCAAGTAAAACAAAAGAAAAAAGAAGAGAAAAATGAAAGAAGAAAGAAAGAAGAGAAAGAAAAAGAAAGAAGAAGGAAAACCCACAAGAGAGAAAACTCTCAAAAACTCTTTTCTAGGGTTTGAGTTATGAGTTTTGGTGTTTAAATACTCCCAAAATCGAGCACAAGCAAAAGCCTAAAATGCCCTCAAAATATCTGATTTTCAGGAATTTTTAACGCACTGGTGCGCGGGTGCGCACCATTCCAAAAGCCAAGTGCGCGGGTGCGGACTCTTGGTGAAATCAAAAATTGCACATGAGGTCCTTAGGATAAATTGCATAGTTTGTCCCTCAACTTTTATGTTGTACATTTTGGTCCTCGAATTTGGATTTTTATTTCAATATTGCCCTCCATAAATTGCATCCCAATGTCCTCCAACATTTGGCACTTGTGTAACTTGGTCCCAAACTTCACATCTTTGTATGTTTTTGGTCATTTTTTTATTCTTTTGCCTTGTTCTCTTTTATTTTGGTCTACAAACACAATAATTACATAATTGTGAGTAGAAATTCGCTCATTTTTATCAATAATAAGTATATTTAAGTATTAAATAAGTGTGCAAAAACACACTTATCAAGGACTGACTGTGTCCATTTTTCCGAATACAACGATTGAAAGTAGCTGACAGTAACTCTTTATTACTTTAGACGAACTAAAAATACTCACAATTCTATTACTGAGCTAATAAATAATTATCTAAACTATGAAAAATATCTAGAAAACAAAGAGATAATAGAGAAACTTAGAGAGCTCTCAAAGTTTGGAGTGTAAAATAAGGAAGAGAACACCTCCTCACATGGCATTTGGTTGGGGAACGTTTCAATTTCTCTATTAATTTTACATTAACAAAAAGAAAAAATGTTACAATAGCCATTAGAGTTTTGTAACCACCAATTTAATTGAAAAAATAACTCATAATTTATTTCAATTCAATGAAAATTAACTAGAGAAAATTTGAAATCAGAATTGTTGTTATATCTCATTCACTTTCTTCCAACAAGAAATTGGTGATGTTAGGCTTGATTTTTGGTAGCATTAGGTATTGGCTTTATCGATTATATCTTCAACATTGTGCTAAATGCCACCATAATCGTTCTTCCTTACAAATTACGGGCATATGAATGGGTAGATACAACATGATTGATTGATGGGCTAACACATAATAATTTTTTAATATTGCTAATAAACACTTTTTTACGTTATCTAGGTTGCGATCGAAGTGTTCTGTGCAAAAAGAAATCACTGGGTGCTCTTGAATGAGTTCACGGTGAATTTTAAAGGTGTACACAATATCTTTAAATATCTTAAAAGTATAAATAATGTGACATTTTAAGAACAAGTTAAATTGAATGTGACTTTTTGATGCATCATAAACAGAGAAGAGAACTTCTAAAATATCGGGTTCCAAAAAACTTTAGCAGAGATCCTCATGCAGACTTCGGAAAGGGGACGAAAAGAGTCTATTTACCTTTACATGTAAGTATTTAAAAAAAATTGTGACTTTTTAAATTTTTAAAGAGAAAGTTACAAGGCATGTGACTTTAATTAAAAAGAAACCAACTTTTCACTATATTTTCTACACGAATAATGTTACTTGTACATAAGTAATTACATAATGATTTACATATAGATGGGGTGTCAAAAAGAGAGTAGAGAATGTTTTTTTTCTCATTTGGTTGATGAAGTTCTAACCCAATCATATATCACCACACTAAAAAAAAGAGAACATTCTCCATTATCTTTTTGACACCTCATCTATATGTAAATCATATATAACTGATTATACACAAGTAACATTATTCTTTCTACATTGTAAATTATTCTTCACCGTATATTTTTTTTTTTCTAAAAGTCCTTATTTTATGAGTATTTGTTTAATTGCCAATTTATGGCCCAAAAATATTTCAAGCAACCAAAACTTGCTCAAGGCACAAGATAATAGTTGTCATACCAATGAAAATGACACAAATAGATCTAAAATGAGGTGAATGACAATTGTATCATTTTATGTAGAATTTCATTTGAAGCACCTTTTCTTTCATGAGAATCTAAACTACATAAAAGATTCATTTCAATTTTATTTTACACTTCCATTTTAAGCACCATTCTCTTGAGAGTTTTACTGGATAAAACATCAAAGTTGTGATTTTAAAATGAATCCATAGAACTAACTACACTGACACAACACTATTGAGTAAAAGCATGAGTTTGAATATCTCTACTTTCATTTATTATTAAGTTATAAAGACCAATTAACTATTCATTGTTAGGTGAAATGTAACTCAAGACACCCACATACATGCACCCATGGAAGATGTTGCCTTGAGTGAGTGTCACTTTTAAATAGGTGTACAGGATGATGGGTTGATATCAAAACAAGAATCCAAATGGGATAGTTTTGCAAAATTATAGTAAGCTGTCACTACACATGAAGGTGGGATCCCTCTGCCTCTTCACCTTCTATTATAATTACAATATGGTTGCTCTTGGGAATTCACTCTTTAGCTTTTGCTTGAGTTAGTTTTTTTTTTATATAAAAAAATAAGTTTTATGATAGTATTTTTTGGAGAATGTATGGTTAAAGAGTAGATAAAAGTTTTGAATTTACGTATGAAATTAATTTATCGGGAGAATGTGTGGTTGAAAATGAATTTGAGGAAAAATGAGTTTTAAAATAATTTTTTTTTTTTTTCAAATGTTGAAGTACATAGTATTTCATTAGAAAGAGATACATTCATATTAGTTGAAATTAATTTTCAAACATGCCTTTTCAAATTTAGATCAAATTCATTTTTACCAAAAGTTTTGATGCATGCACAACACTCACTTTCTATTATAGTATTATATTAAACTATTTCATCTATAAATTTAAGATGTCGAAGATGAGATATTTATTTTTTCCACTTCAATCTTCAAAAAATTTATTTATTTTTTTTAAAAAAAATCTAACACGTGTATGTAATTTTCGACGAGTGCTTACGTTGGCACTACTATTTTTTTTGTTGCATTGCTTCTAATTACATTAAAAGTTACCAATCTTCTCTTGTATAACACTTGTGTCCCAATTTTTTTTCATCGTATTCTTATCATCAACCTTTTGTTAAGTATAGCACATCGCCCTTAATAACCGTTTCCATCCAAAAAAGTCACCGTGAGAACATAAAAAATACTTATTTGCCCCATATTTCAAAATAAGATAAAATAATAAATACAAAAATACAACAAAATATTACTCATCATTTCAAAGAACACTCACATAATATTTCAATATAAACCATCATATAAAACTAGATGTTTTAATTAATTGAATATTTCAGGTAAAATTGCAACCAAAAAGTGGACATAAGTGTGAAAATAAGCAAAGACCGGTAAACGTTTAATGAAATTAAAAGGCGGTGTAACAAAAATGTTGTCTATATATATTATTATCCCTTTCTTAAATGAGTCGTTAAACTACATCTAGAAGTGTAAACGATTGAAAAAATATACATTTATTCTTCAGTATGCACTCTTACATTCAAACCGAATCCAATTTTTTTTGGTCAAAATTCTCACACACACACATAATTTTCATAAATGGGTGAAGGTGGGACGTGAACTCGTGAAAGTTTGATTTTATATTGAACAACTAGAGAATAGACACTGTCACTGACTAAATTGCAAACTCATGAAGCAAATAAACAAAGCTTTATAATTTAGAAAGACTTTTATCAAAAAAATATTTTGTGATGGTAAGTGAATATCAATTATTGCACACTGAAATAATTAGAAAATGCCAAAATTCACTTGCCAAAGTTCATGCATGGGAAAAAAGAGTGGGCTTCACTTTATGAAGAATGGTTTATATTGATTCAAATTCAATTTAAAGGGCCACCTTATCAGAAATCAAATAATAAAAAAAAGGCAAATTTTTATACCTTATCACATTTATGATGCAGAAAAGGTAGTAGCATCTATAAAATCTACATGGGAACAACTTGTGGTCCTTAGCAGTTGATATTTGGGACATATCAACTTATAAAAATTATAAATTGAAAAAAAAAAAAAAAAGTAAAGCAATTTTTGCTTTAGAGATTTCTAATAATACAGTATTTAGACATCAGATAGCAGCAGCTTGTATGGATACCTAAGCATTTCCATGACATGTGCAGATCAAAAGGAAGAATGGAATGGCGAGGAAGAATTCATACAGGCGATTCCAAATTTATTTGAAAATAACTCTTATCTTAATGGCCAAATAAGTAACTTATTTCTTACTTCGACTAATAAAAAATTATTTTAAACCTTACTATAATTAAGACTTTTAAGCTTAATCAAATATCCTCTTTTGATGCTCACTACAGAATCAAAAGTAGAAACAATGTACTTGCAGACAAGAAAAGGTCATTATAACAACTTGCCATGTGTTTTCTAGAAGACAACAATGACAACAACAGAACATGCAAGAAGAAGTAATACACAGTACACTACAAAATCATATTATCCACACACTACATTTATTTAGTGATGTCAAAATCGGTCGAGCATGGCTCAGCCCACAAAATCCGAGCCGAGCCAAGCTGAACTGCCTGGTCAAGAAAGAGATCATAGACCTATGGGAGAAGAAGGTTCCAAAAAAAGACTAACCGGGCTTAGTCCTGGCTGGGGCGTTTGACACCCTACATTTATTCCATTCAGATGCTCTGTCCTATGCCTTGCAGCCAATCAACTCAACAAAAACTCTACAAACATATTTTTATTTCATCTGCACAGATATTTCAAAAATTCCGTTTTTATTCACGAAAGTTGATAGACAGAAGGGCCCTTTAAACATGTCATGATGTAACTCTAGCTCTTGCAGTTGCTTAGAAGTTAGAAGAAGATGAAACAGAACAGTAGCAAAGTACAATTTGCATCATGTCAAGCAAAGTAATTACCTCATTCCTCTTGTTTCTTGGCATATGCCTGTTTCCCACAATCCGTGCTTTAAACCAAGAAGGCCTCTCTCTTCTGTCATGGCTTTCTACCTTCAATTCTTCGTCTTCTGCGAGTTACTTCTTTTCGTGGGATCCGACGGACCAAAATCCCTGCAAATGGGATCACATTAAATGTACAAACGATGGATTTATTTCGGAAATTACAGTCACTTCTATCTGTCTTCCCACTACATTTCCAACTCAGTTCCTTTCCTTCAACTATCTTACAGTACTTGTTCTCTCCAATGGCAACCTCACCGGTGAAATTCCACCGTCGATCGGAAACTTGTCGTCGCTGATCACTTTGGATCTCAGTTTCAATTCTCTGACAGGGAGCATACCACCTGAAATTGGAAAACTATCAGAATTGCAGCTATTATCATTGAACTCAAACTCCTTGCATGGAGGAATTCCAAAAGAAATAGGAAACTGCACGCAACTGCAGCAGCTCGAACTCTTTGATAATCAGCTCAATGGAAAAATTCCTCCAGAAATTGGACGGTTAAGGGCTCTGGAGATCTTTCGTGCAGGGGGAAATGTAGGAATCCATGGAGAAATACCAACTGAGATATCACACTGCACAAGTCTAGTTCTTTTGGGACTTGCAGATACCGAGATTACAGGTCAGATTCCGCGCACTTTAGGAAAACTGAAGAACCTCAAGACACTTTCAGTCTACACAGCAAATCTCACAGGCAAGATCCCACCAGAACTCGGTAACTGCTCAGCATTAGAAAATTTGTTCATGTATGAAAATCAAATATCTGGCGGAATTCCACTTGAGTTAGGTTCCCTTAAGAATCTGAAAAGGGTTTTGCTGTGGCAGAACAATCTGAAAGGAACAATTCCAGGATCTCTTGGTAACCTTTCAAGTTTGAAAGTAATCGATTTTTCATTGAACTTTCTAACTGGAAAACTTCCTCCATCTCTTCAATATATAGGCACACTGGAGGAATTACTTTTGTCCGATAACTATATTACAGGTGAAATACCACAGTATATTGGAAATTTCTCCAACTTGAGACAACTTGAATTGGACAACAACAATATTTCTGGAGAGATTCCGTCCGAAATCGGGAAACTAAAAGAGCTCTCTCTTTTCTTTGCCTGGCAGAATCAACTGCATGGAAAGATACCAATTGAGCTATCAAATTGCCGGAAAATTCAAGCTTTGGATCTATCTCACAATTCACTCACAGGACCACTTCCAAAGTCTTTGTTTAATCTCAGGAATTTAACTAAGATTCTATTGATTTCAAATCAACTTTCAGGTCAAATTCCACCTGATATTGGCAATTGCACCAGCTTAACCCGGTTACGGCTGGGATCAAACCTGTTTGATGGTCAAATTCCATCAGAAATCGGACAGTTGAAGACTTTGAGTTTCCTTGAACTGTCAGGAAATCGATTCTCAGGAGCAATCCCCACAGATCTTGGCTACTGCACACAACTGGAAATGGTTGATCTGCATGGAAACAAGCTTCAAGGCGAGATTCCTCAGTCTTTTGTGTCTCTGACTGAACTCAATGTGTTAGATCTTTCCATGAACAATATATCAGGCAGTATACCAGAATATATAGGAAAGCTCACATCGCTTAACAAACTTATGCTGAGTGGAAACTACATCTCTGGTTCGATTCCTCAATCACTTGGCCTTTGCAAGGATTTGCAGTTGCTGGATTTGAGTAGCAACAGACTCAGTGGTTCAATCCCAGATGACATTTGTCACCTGAAAGAATTGGACATACTATTAAATTTAAGCTCGAATTCTTTAACGGGACAAATCCCAGAAGGATTTTCAAATTTCTCAAATCTTGCCAACATGGACATATCCCATAATATGTTGACAGGAAGCCTGCAAGTTCTCAGCAACCTAGAAAATCTTGTTTCTTTGAATGTTTCCTATAACAATTTTTCAGGTTCTCTTCCCAACACCAAATTTTTTCGGGATCTTCCTGATAGCTCATTTGCTGGAAATCCAGAACTTTGCTTTGCTAGGAACAAATGCCATGTCAGCAAACACCTTCATAGCCAAAAATTTGTTAAAATTCTCACTATCATCGTTGTCCTCCTTGTCATCATGACTTCTTTAACTATGACAGCAGGAACAATCTTATTTATCAGAGCACACGATGCAACATTCAGGAAGAATGATGAAGAAAATCACCTCGAGTGGGATTTAACTCCATTCCAAAAGATTAATTTCTCAGTAAATGATGTGGTAACCAAACTTTCAGATTCTAACATTGTGGGAAGAGGCTGCTCTGGTATTGTTTATCGTGTTGAGACACCGACACAGCAAGTCATTGCTGTCAAGAGACTATGGCCAAAGAAGAGTGGTGAGATTGCACAAAAAGACCAATTTTCAGCAGAAGTTACAGTACTGGGATCGATTAGACATAAAAATATAGTACGACTTCTAGGTTGTTGTGACAATGGGAAAACTAGACTGCTCTTGTTTGATTACATCAGTAATGGGAGTTTAGCTGTACTTCTCCATGAGAAGAAGACATTCTTGGACTGGGATGCAAGGTATAAAGTTCTACTGGGAGCAGCTAAAGGCCTAGATTATCTTCACCATGACTGCATCCCTCCAATTGTCCATCGAGATATCAAGTCCAACAATATTTTAGTCGGTCCAAATTTCGAAGCTTTTCTTGCAGATTTTGGACTTGCAAGGCTTGTAAATTCTTCAGGCTCTTCAAGCGCTTCCAACATAGTAGCAGGATCGTTGGGATACATTGCTCCTGGTAAGCACACAAGCCTGAAAAATATATAATTTACTTAAGGTATTAATGTTCAATAAACATACATACTTTCAGCTGGTAGCCAGAGTCCCAAGTATTCTATTGAACCATCTCATCTAAAAGTTTAAAATGTTACAATGGGATACATTTATTTCTTAAATACTTTTCGTTTTTTACGAAGGCCTAACACATGCATAAGTTTGTATATGGGTGGCATCGAGACGTGAACCAAATGCCATTGTCTGCTTTGATAACATGTTGAACCATCTCATCTAAAAGTTTAAACTGTTAGAAAGGGAACACGTTTATTTATTTAAATGTTGTCTTCAATGGTTTTCAAGAACATAAGTATGCAATTTGACTTGCTGCTCAAGATAATACACAGAAATGCCAAAATGTGCGTGTATAGTCATCAAGAATTGTTTCACAAGTCATCTATCTTGATAGTTATTTAATTAACTTGCTTCACACCACCATGTAAACTCGTGAACATTCTTCAGAAACTATTACGTGAAAAGCATACATCTAATATGTTACAAAATTAGAATGCTCCAATGTACCCTTGCATCATAATATTGGAACTACCAATAACTGAATTTTATCCACGTTGCAGAATGTGGATACAGTCTGAAGATTACAGAGAAGAGTGATGTATACAGCTATGGCATTGTGCTCCTAGAGATCGTAACAGGGATGGAACCAACCGATCCCCGGATTCCAGATGGTGCTCACATCGTTATGTGGGTTAATGAAGAACTGAGAACAAGACACAAAAAGTTGACCTCAATTGTTGATCTACAATTACTTCACCGATCAAGTACACAAACTGAAGAGATGATTCAAGTGCTTGGTGTGGCTCTACTTTGTGTAAACCCTTCTCCGGAAGAACGACCCACAATGAGGGATGTAACTGCAATGCTGGAAGGTATAAGACATGAAAATGAGGAGCTCGAGAAACCTAACCATCTTAGGAAGGAAATGGTCTCAAACCCAAGAGCAGCAGTTCAATGTTCAAGTTTTTCTAGGTCATCTGATCGTCTAATCAGATCACCTCCTCATTCCCAGCAGTCAGATCCTTTTCTACCTAATTCTATAATTAAGTAGATTCTTTGCTAGCAAGAATTACATTGTATAGATTCCTAGTACAAAATTTCTGATTGGACATCATGTTCATTTACATTGACATTGACACCAAAATTTTAATTCAGTATTCGAAGAGAAAAATCATGGCCTCCAAATTCCATTGCCCTCCCCTTATTTATCAAAACACAGAAGAAAGTCTCCATTTCTTTCCAAACAAAGTGTAAAAGCAGGGACATAGACACATTAAACAAACAAAAAGCAGTTGTTTCTATTGACAGAATAATACAGATGCAGTTGGAAGAACATGAAACTATCGTACACAGAATGTTTTTCATTTTAGTTGGTCCATAATTGCAATTTCAAAACTGGGGTAGTAGTGTCAATCAGAGAGGGCCGGTTGCAGAGAGGTATTGAACAACCACTTAAGGGCCTGGGCCAGACACAGCCTTCCACATTTCTCTGGGACCCATCTTGGCCATCAGCCCATTCCATGGTGAGTTGGGCCAGGGCCAGGGCCAACATTCCAAGGTGTGTCGGGCCAGGGCCCCATTTTTTTCTGACGGGTCCACTGACACCAGGGCCAAAAAAGAATAGTAGCTTTCCATCCCATGTGTTTCACATTGAAAAGCTGGGATGGCAAAAGGCAAGGCAATGATAAAATCTTTGCTAACAGTACCCTTAAGGAACAAGCACAAAGGGAAGTATAAGGAAAATCATTCAGTATCAAATCATCCAAACATCTCTTTCATGAAGATAAAGTGGCATGAATTGCATCTTCTTGAAAGATACATTTGTCTTGTGATAAAGGATTTTCTTAGGCCCATAAGTAGGTTATAGTTCCTTTTCAAACTTCAATGGCTCAGATTCATGGTTCATTCTGTCGGTCATATGATATTGGTCCATTGTGTCCATCTCTCATTCAATATGTGAACTCTCACACTCAATACACATTTCAAAATTTGTGTGTGTGGGTGAGAGAGAGAGAGAGAGAGAGAGAGAGAGAGAGAAGAGCTAAGAGGATTTCACTAAGCATTCCACTCATTTCAATCTCGTAAAATTTAGCATATAAAAAGCCCTACCTATCTTCTTATAATGGCACAGTAAAACAAGGATTCAACAAATACTGTCAACTTCTCAAGGAAAGAAAAACTTAAATTTTGCCATAAGCTCTCTGTTTTTGTTCCTTATTCATATTCTACTATGCATGAAAAGACAATTAGCACAAATCCATGGCCACTTTGTTACTTCCTAATATGTAGAGGTTTCACTATTTATTGTTTAACTATTAAAATACATCATTGACCAGTACTAAGGACATCCCACAGAAGAAAGCTTCTCCATTTCCTGTAACTTGTGTTGAAGAAAGTAAATGTACCAGAGAACAAATCCCATCGATCAATTGCCCTTCAAACAAAAGATGTTTCCTTTAACCCTGATTTCTGGTATGGATCCATTCACAAAATTGAAGTTTTACTGTTTAGCATCATATTTAGCTCCTATTTCCTAAAATATTGTATTGCAGCATATTTAGAATACATAACAATTTACAGACTCAATGTTTAAGTTAGATTATTAAAAAAATAATAATGTTTTCATACAATATTGTCCTAAAAGAATTGTCAGAACCATTTGATCTAAAAGTCAAAGGAACGACTCAACAATACACATCAAACACCCATAAGCAATATGCCATGTGAGCTTGTAACGCAGCTGGCACGTGTAAAGGCAAGACACGGTTTCACGGGTTACCTTTCTTCTTAGCACAGAAAGGGACACCGTGCGGCAGTAGTCTGCTCCGCTAGACTACCTTCCGCCTTCTCTCGGTTCTTTCGGGACGAAAAGAAATTTGATTACAATTCAAAGAAAGCTTCCAACATAAAATGGAAATACATTGAACATGACTTGATCATTGATTGCTAGAAAGCTTGAAATTACAATTGATTGAAAGCAGAAAATTACAATGGCTAGTGCAGGGGGCGAACACTAGAAAAGCTTGAAAGATGTTTGAAAGTCATATACCCCCTATAATAGACTTAGCAACAAAAACCCAAATGACGGGAGTAGACGTCTTTTGGCCGAGGAATCATACTAAAATTTTCTAATTATCAACTATTTTACAATTAAATGAAATATTTACAAGGTGCAGCGACTGCGATAGCGTCACGGGGCTTAAGTAAGGCTAGTGCCCGTGACACACGGGGTGGCTTTGATCCAGCCCAAAACGAGTTGGATTAACATGGCTTATAAGGAGGCTCGATTAATTGTTTATTGAAATTAGAGTTTTCTCAAATGTCCGTCCTAGCTCTCAGTATTTTGTGTGAATCGATGAGTTTTTAACTTTTTATTGTCTATCTTTAGGTTTTCTTAACAAATTAACAGGAAACTAGAAGAATGTTCGTGTGTGCACATAGATTTATGGTTTTCAATCACGCTACATACATAAGGTTTATTATAGTATGTGTACAAGACAGCGATGTGCCTGTAACAAGATTTAAAAGAGCCTTCAACTAGAAAACCATAAGCTTGCAATATTGAACTGCAAAATGGAAACTCAGCCTGCTGATTAAGAAATGGCTTTTCCCCTCTTAAGAATATGACACTGATGCGCTCTGATGATAAATGATAACGGAAGCTTAACTGCATATTCAAGAGCTGCTGACTAGATCGGGTATTGCAATAGTTAGTCAAGCATATAGATTCACTTTGTGATATTCTTTTACCAATTCCCCACTAGATGCCATCCTCCAGATGTTGAAAATGAGCAACTGTTTAAGCAAGCACATGCTATAAAATAAAATTATGAAATGACAACTTGTTCGGCAATCACAAATAGGCCGGTGAAATAAAGAAATCCTTATAACCAAAATAAGCTACACAGAGAGTCAGAAGTCAGATACACAACCATTTAACATAAATAAATAAAGAATACACCAGCCCATCCATAACTGAAGACTGGAAGTGAACTCACAGGAACATAGGAGGGATTGCAATAGTAACATGAAATGGAAAATATAGTTTACATTCTAGCAGTAGAATGGTTGGTTGCCATTGAAAAAATAGTCTCATTTGCCCGAAAGAGATGCCAACAATGACCTCTGGGATCCAATATGACCATCAGCAGTTATAACTATGCCTTGGGATGCCATTTTATACTGCATCCAACACTAGTGCCAAAAGGGAAGATAGGTTTAGCATCCCCCATAATCACCAATATTTTAAACTTTCAATTTTAACAAAAGAATATCAATTATTGTAAAAGAAGATCGGTGAATAACAAAGAGGAAAAAGAACCAAATACAAAGACAATACCTGGGCTTCTGAATGGATGGTACTGGCTGGCCACTTAAAACAGTGTCTATTGCTAGGCTTAAGTCCCTAAATAAAATGCACAAGTACGTATTAGAAACATGTGATTAGGTGTCAAGGAAAATTTTTCCCATTTTAGCTTTATCAAAACATTAAGATAAAGCAGCAACCTTCCTGTGACGGGCACATTATTGCTTGGCCTTGAATCATCGAACTGGCCGTGATAAACTAGCTCAAAAGGCCTACGGCCATCCTGTCACCAGAATATGGATTCAAGTTAAGGCTAGAAAAACCAAATCAATTGGATCAATGTTACAATGCCAAACATCTGTACTTAAACTGCCAGCGTATAATTAATTGGGAACAGGGCCAGGAAAAAAGAGATTCAAGCAGGTAGTGATGATTATTCATTAGTAACGGTAAAAATTACCTTTCTGAATAGAAAAAACTCTGGCGTGCAAACAGCTCCAAAATCTCTTGCAACATCTTGCGACTGCAGAGAAATATACAGAGCTTTCTAAGATCTTTTGCACTTCCCAGGAAAAGATATATTCTTTAATGTATATTTAACTTGGGTAGGGCTACATAATCAATCAAAATAAAGTAAAATTACAAGCAACCTTCTTCTACATTCAAGCATCCAGCATATAAAATTGAAACAGGTACAATTTTGTCAGATATAAAAAGCAGTTTCTAGGACAAACAGATTCATAAACTACTATCCAGAAAAAATCTGGAATTTTTGTCAGCAGTTGCACTTGTGTTCTACTGATCACCTTCACTAACTATGTCTTTTCTGTAAATTTAGAACGTGTTTGGGAAGTGTTTATAAACAGTTCAAATTATAAATAGATAGAAATAGTGGTGGATAAGTGAGTAGTATTTGTATGTATCACGAAATGTGTGGATAAAAAATTGGTTTGACTAATATAAACAGTTTATAAACATTAGCCAAACATGGGCTTAATCTTGGCCAACGCTTTAGTTTATGAGAATTCCAGTGACTTAGCAGTAAACACCAAGGAAAGTAGGATTAGAATAAAACAATAATATTCATGCATTTCAATATTTTAATGCTTGAGACACAATGGACTATATTCCCCCAACGTAATTCATCTAAATCCATAACAAAATAATCAATAGCATCTCAACGGTTACTGTTATGTCCAGGTATAAAAGTTGTAAATTCTTAAACAACATACCAGAAAAAGCATGTTTCAAGTTTCCTCTTCAAGATAAATCTCCCAATAATGAGTATTAACTACCACAGGATCCCAAGTTATTGTCAAAATCACCCAATAACAGTATTTTTACAAATGTTTTGCACAAAATGAGAAGTGTTCTCTGCATACTATCGTCGTTTCCTGAAATTATACAACCACGTGCAATGCTGAATCAAATTACAATAATAAAAAAGATAGAAAATAAAAGATACATATCATAGGATGTTCAGTTAAATGGGGAATGAGCTGAAATATATAGAAGCTTACCTCATCATAGAGATATGGGAAAGGATAGTTAAATATCTTAGCTTCTTCAGCCATGAAGTCAGGTCCATCCTGTGAGGAATAGGTCAATTTTGGACATATCATACAATAGCTTCAACACTTCTCATATTTGAAGCTATAAAGTCATCTGAACCTGAGGATGAGTAGTTGAAGAGTTTGAAGATATTGCTACTACTGCAAGCCCTTTCTGCACAAGGAGTAGAAACCATTTAATACATCCAGTTTTCTTTTGCAATTGCAATTTTTTTTTCTTTTTTTTTCAGAAGTGTATAGAAAACAGAAAAGAACTAGATATTGCCTTACCTTCATGTAAAAATTTGAAAGCTTTATAATATCTTTCTTCAAATGCTTAACAAAGGGGCAGTGGTTGCAGATGAACATGACCTAAATTACCAGAATGTTTAAAATAATTCAATAATTCTACATCAGAAAGATGGTAAGTGAAACTTGAAGGCGAGTTTCAGCCAGGCTTCTTTATTATACATCAGAGATAATATTGCTGTGCTCAACACATTTAAGAATTTTCGACATTTTCTTGATAAGTGAGGAGTTTCATATAGAAAGAGCAGATGCTTCCTAGAGGTGAACTGGTTTGTTAATGGGAATCATTCTCAGAAATTATGTTGACGTATCCTTGTTCCTTCTGGGAAGATGGATTCACAAACCAAACCAAGCATCTGAGATACCATATACAAGTTCTCTGTATACCCATAGCACTAAATAAAGTGACTTTAGGGAGAGCTTTCGTGAACTAGTCTTTATATCTCTATCCCAACATGTAGCCTAGGTAATGAGAATAAATGGGGGAAAATTGTAAAGTGGAAGCCCCTACATTGCTCTCAATCCCAGTGCCACCACCTGAACTATCTGTGCCTAAAACCGTGAATGATCCATTATTTTCTTATAGAATGCGTAGTTATGCCTTGTGGGGGTAGAAATGAGAGTTTTCCCATTATTGTGGAAATTATTCTCAAAAGAAAATAGTGGTGGCTCAAAGCCATAAATATTGAGGCCTCCAGTTCAATTAGCGTTTAACAGACTTTTGCAACAATGGTGAAATTATTGCATATTCTCTGTATTATTGTTTATATAAATTAAATACTGCACAAAAAAAAAAAGCACAACGTTATGGTGATCGTTGGATAGTTAGGAGCAGGTACACATGGTATGGAGAAGCTTACTGCATAACATTTGTTGATATGATGAAAAGACAAGGAATAATCATAAATCAGAGAGGGTTTGAAAGGATTAAATCGAAGGTTAGAAATGATTCGTACTACTCATCTCAGGGATAATGAGAGTTGAACAACGGAGACAATGAGGGAGAAGTAATGTTTAAGCATAATATTTGTGATCGCCAGCTTAATTGTCAAAATTAAGAGTACGAGAGACATGAGTAATTTGTTCTATTTCATTTTGTGCTTTGGTCCGTATGAAAGGTGAGTCTTTGGTAGCGCCGTAGCGGCAACTAACAAATGACAAGACAGATCCATATTGAGTTATAGATATTTTATAGTTACTAGAGATACTAAAAGCGCAATTACTCAACCAGAGTTTGGCCATCATTTTTTAAAACGCATTTTTCCTCAAACGCATTTCCAATCACACATTTCATGTTACCTACAGGCTACAACTTTTATCAATTTTTTAACCACATATTTCACCTCCTTCTATCAAAATTCACTAAAAATCTGATTTTTAACTAACCAAATAAGGGTTCAATGCTATCTCGGGCCTCAACATTGCTATTTAGATTAGAAAAATTGCTTCAAATTGCAAACTCTTCTGTAAAATGAATCATAGTAGAACAAGAAATCTTCACCAAGTTGGAACCTATGATCAGCAAAATAGATTTTAACCTCGTGATCTGGTGGGTGAAGAGTTGAAAGACCACATGCTTATATCGTTTCGACTACAAACTACACACAAATCCTGGAACCTTGCTTGAGCTTGTATAGATTTGTATTTGTACTGATAATCAATATAAAATAATTATTTATAAGTATACAAACAGCACTATATCTTCAATTACTTATCGAGAGCATCCCAAAACACAGAACATTAACAAAAATATAACAGTTCCAATAATAAAAACCTTTACATGAAATAGAGAAAATAATACCAGCAATGCCGGGTGTGATTCAAAGTCTTCTAGTTTCCAAATTTTCCCGGTAAGAGGCTCCGGAAGCTAGAATCAGAATTTCAAAACAATAAGTGAACAGGATAATCATAGAAGAAAATTCTCAATAATTTCCAACTTAGAAGCGAGGTTCATACATATTTCATAACTAATTGGTACATTCTTGTAATACTAAACCAGTATATTGTCTCAATTGGAATTCAAAAAGCTTCTCTTCAACAAATGAATACAATGAATAAACATATTGTTGAGTCTATACATTGATTATTGCTTTCATATCTAAGCCAGTGGGGTTTTGCCCTTTAATAAGGTGGCTCATTTGAGAACAACCCTCGAGAATTCGACTGCTCGTTTAAACTTTAAACGGATTAGAGCATTTCCAAGCCTTATTTGTTTCATATTTAAGTAAATACATTCATGCATACAGACATACGCACCTCAAAATCAGGTGCCCGTAAACCAAGAGAGACTCCTTGGGACTCGGTTCTGGCAGCACGAACCACGAGCTTTCTTGAAGGCAGTGAACGGCTCCTGTGCTGCAGGGGATTAAACCCCAATTTTGAGTAACACTTTGAAGATGACATGAAACTACAAGACGCTCTGCTCAAGGCCGGGAGGGAGAGTACACGTGCACCAATTGATGATATGGTGACGTTTGCAATAGAAGCCATGGTTTAACGAGAAAACTGCTCGTTCCAAATTTCTGGTTCTGAGCGGTTTGCTCATAGATTATGGACGACGAAATAAGTAGAAATGGCTATATTTCAAAGTGCCTTTCACCATTAAAAAAGAAAAAGTTTCAACGTTATCCTTAGACCATTAAAAAAATAAAAATTGAATAATGAGTTAAAGAACAAAAATTAAAAATACCTTCAAAAGTCATGTGCAAACGGTGGACCAAAAAGATAAAAATCTCTCATAGTCGAGATCCACATTCCCCACAGTCAACCACACCACCCACAAAGAAAATCAACCTCACAGTCACCAACGTCAACCACCACACAGACGATCCAGTCATCGACAACATTGAAATCAACAAGATTGGTTTTTTGTGCTCTAGAAATTGATTTTTCATATATGGTTTAGATTAAATTTAACATTTATTTAGTTTATTGTTCATTATTTAAGTAGATGTTTGATTGTATGAGTTAGGTTTGGTGATTTTTAGGGACAGATATCGCCAACTGTTTGCGCTAAAATCGTCGATGAAGACGATTGTTAACAGTTGGCCAACTATTAATAACTGACTGTTAACAGTCCATTCAGCCACTATTAACATTGAGCCCAACCCGACTGTTAACAGTAACAGCCAGCCCATTTGGTTGGGTGATCCCATCCGACAAGACAAAAGTTCTCTACAATGACACTGTAGAACAATTGAAGGGATGTGGCATATCTTGGTAGCACATTTGTTAACCAAACCTCTCATCAGGAGGATATTGGGGAGATTCGGGTGAGATCCATGTAGATCCAACTTTCGTTTCACTTGTAGGGTTGCTTTTTTTGGGCGATTTTTTTATTTTTCTTCTTAATTATTTTACTATTTATTCATTCTTTTTTTTAATTATAATTTAATTTTTTTTTTCAATTTTAAATAATATTTATATTCTTTATTTAATTTAATTTAATTTTCTTTTGTTTACATTTTTTCATTATTGTTTTTTTTTTTTGTAATAATTTTAAAATTTATTAATTGTTTTCTATTTATCATAATTTTTTTATTTTTCAATTTAAAATGCTTTTTAATATTCTTTCTTTAATTTTTATTATTTATTTAATTAATGTTAATTAATTAATTCATTCATTTTAATTTCTTATTTTTGTCTATAATTCTTATTTTTTTCCTTTAATTTATTAAATCATTTATTTTTTATTAGCATCGATGTAATGAATATATTTCTTACGTGTAGTAGTTATAATTTGGTTAATTTAATTTTCTAATATTATGTTTTATTCTATTATCTCTTGCAGAAAGTTCTAATATTTGAATTTTTACATGAGTACCATCTTGACGCTAAGTTGAAACAAGTATCAGGAAAATATATTTGAAACATTAGCTTTGACAGTTTTAGAACTGTATTAGAGTTGCACGATGAAGAGCACAGAGATATGATGCATTAGTTCTTCTTGTGGACCCTGTATCAATTGAGAGAGATGCAGTATTCCGAGCAGATCATTGATGCATTACTATGTCGGCTCCTTAGGCCAGTCGACGACAATACACTACACTTCGACCTTGGGGCAAGGTAGTTAATTTCTCTATATTTGAGTTTTCCCTCGTGATTGGACCGACGATTAGTGGTGATGAGCAGCAAGCGACGATACTAAAAAAACAATAGGCTATACGACCGTATTTTCAGGGATGGGGAACGGTGCTAGTGCAGTTGATTGGAGCAATAAGGGAATGCGACCAGATGTTAGACAGATTGAAGCTGTGATTGGTCTATATACTTGAGAGTGTGGTAAGATGTCATCACAAAAAGACTGCGATTAATATTTTTCATTTGGAGATTGTTGACGATATCAATGCCTTTAACAACTATTCGTGGGGTGGAGATATTTTTAGGATAAAGTACACGTCTTCAAGAGATCACATTCGAAGCCCTTGCTTAAGGACGATACTTATGGATTGCCCTTAGTAATGCATATAAATGTTTAACATAATCAACGTTAAATTTTTTTTATACTAAATTTATATATAATAATTGTATGTGTTAAAGATCTGGGTATATGAGATTGTCCCCCTCTTGGGTACTCAGTTTGTGAGGAGATGGAAGACACATTGCCCTCCATTGTATCATTGGAGAGTATCCTGAGGAGACGGTTGTCCATCGACAGACATTTATCAGCTCTCCTCGACAACCCTCAGGTGAATATTGTATGTCGTTTCAAAATCTCAGCACATGATTATTAACTAGTTGAAATGTAAATATTTCATTTGAAGTCCTAACTGAATTGACGTCGTTGATAAAGGAGAAAGGTCTAGATTTTGTGTGTGAATTAGTCGTTCCGCATACTCAAGACGACCACATGTTCGATTACATCTTGGATTGAGATTAGGTATGTTAATTGAATATAATTTGTTGATTATCGTTTTATATGAATTGAGATATTTTAATTAACTTATTAATTTTTAATATTCTTATTTGTGCATGAACGCCGTCCAGTTGATCAACGATCACCTTCGCCGAGGGCATCACCCTCGTCGATGTGATCTCCTTCGCCCCATAGATCTCCTTTCTCCCCCATCAAACACCTCTCACATGGATCTCCTGCACACAGTTAGAGTCGTTATTTCGATAACGTATATGTAAGCCTAACTGGATTCATCAAAGAAAAGGTAGAGACACTCCAACAAAATTTGAGAGAGGAGATAAGCACGCTATGACAAGAGTTGGGAAAGGAGACGAGAATTGGGAGGCAAGGTAGCAGATTTATGTCATGATGTTGGAGTGTTACAAGGCCATTTAGTAGATCTTCAAGATGAGGTCACAGCGTTACAAGACGATATAGCAGGCAGCTGAGAGGGCGACAGACGGGGTGATAGAGAAGGTAACAGAGAGGGTTACAGAGATGATGGAGGAAGGAGATGTGTCCTATTGTTATGGAAAGAGGAGGGTGCATTAGAGTCATTTTTGTTATTTGTAGAGCCGAAGTGATTGTTCGTCCCCGAGACACATGGGGTGGCCCCGATGGTAATGGAGAAGGTGGCGATCCCCGGGGCGATGAGCTGGCGGTCCTCGAGGCGATGAACTGGCAATCCTCGAGGCGGAGGCAGGGGTAGTTGTGACATATTTGTAATCAAGTATATTGAATTTTTGAGTATAGCATATACGATTGATGAAATCAACTAATCCTGGATATATAATTGGAGGAAGAAGTTAACGTGCGATTTTTATGAATTCAATTATGATGTACATGTATATTGTTTTATTCGAAAATGTAAATATTGATTATTTAGTTTTAATTCATTGTATATTGTATATTATTTCTTTAAAAATGTAATTATTGTTCATTTAATTATTTATTTATTTGTGATCCGTAGTACATTGTATATTATTTTAATTTTATGAAAACGAAGTATGAGGACCTAATTGCAAATTTTTAATAGTGTATTCGGAATATGAAACTGTGATCGAATAACAGCGATAGATTACACATTCGTCTAATTTTTATTTAGGGGAATATGAATTGTACAAAATTGGCGAGTATGCCATGTTGCTATGCACCTGCTGTACCCAAGAAAACTCTTTAGTAGATGATATTTTAGACGTATGTACACATCCAGACCACACGATTCAACTTCGAGTGGCAACAAACTATTAAGTGGAAAAATATGATCGGAAACTTCCCACTCGACTTCATTCAATAGAGAAAATATAATTTCAGCATACGCTGCTCTTCAATAATCAGCCAAATTATAAGAAGAGTATAAGGTTCTCGTTGCAAAGACTTTGTACATAGCAACTGCGACTACATGCTCACATGGAAAACTCTCTAGCTGAAATTGACTACAAATGCAAATATTATCAGTCAAGTCCACCATGTATGCGATATTACGTGTACATTTCACGAAAAAGGGCAACTTATCTTGTGGTTCCACATTTAACTTTCTCGCAACCTCTACAATCTTGAAGAGTTTATCCTCCTAAATCGGAGCTAGCACGTTCATGCAACTCTGTGATTTCTCACGTAGATCGTGAAACCACTACTATAACTTGTTACAAATGTTCTCAATTATTGCGAGAATTGGTACCTCTCGATCATTCTTGAATAATGCATTGAGAGCCTCCACATTGTTTGATATCATCATGTTGTATCGACGTCCTGAAAAATATCATTCTTGAATAATGCATTGAGAGACTCCACATTGTTTGATATCATCATGTTGTATCGACGTCCTGAAAAATGTTATTACACCTAATGTTCAATCCCCATTTTGTTAAATAATCCCATGCCGGGAATGATTTACTTTATATTTCAATTATGAACTTATTATACTCTTCAATACTGCAAACTTTTGTCGCTCTCTTAAACAATGAAACGATGCATTTGCCCCAATACCTAGTCTCCAGGTTGCCTTGTATATGGTACATGTAATACCCATGATGTGTATCGGGAAAAACTTCAGTGATACCATTTATTATAGACGGTCCCCAATCTATTACAAAGGCAAGGTCATCGACGTCCCCAATTATTTCCCTCAACTTTGTAAGGAACCAACGTATCAATAGATAATTTTCGCTATCAACTATGCCGAATGCAAATTGGTAAATTTAGATGTTGATATCTTGACATATAGCAATAGTCAAGTTACTGTTGTATCTAGCTTTCAAAGTTATACCATCGACTAGAATTAGGGGTCACATAGCATTTTGAAATCTCCGAATACATTGTCCAAGAGCTATGAAGAAAAATTAGAAATAATTCTCACCCTCCGTCTCACTAAAAGATGTCGAGCCATGATTAATTTTCCACATGTTATGGCAATATCTGAACAATTTAGCATTACTCTCCTCGACCGAGCAAATTAAATCCTTCAACGCGCATTCTCTAGCATTCCAAGCTTTCAGTAGCTCATGACCACCTCATACTCTTGACGGACGTCATTAACTATTTTTGAGGATCTGTAGATCGTCCGTAGGTCCTGATACTTGTACATTATTTGTCA